GAACGGCCAGTGTGAGAGGTTTAATCAAACACTCCTCAACATGCTTGGCACACTGGACGAAGAGCAAAAGAAGAAATGGAGGATGCATGTGGGCCCTCTTGTTCACGCGTACAACTGTACGAAGCACGCATCAACCGGGATGTCTCCTTATTTTTTGATGTTCGGCCGAGAGCCCCGACTGCCCATTGATGTCTTGTTTGGGTTACCATCGCAATCAGGTGCTAAAGGACAGGGTCAATACGCGGCCAACCTGCAAGAGCGGCTGAAGCGAGCCCACGAGCTGGCATCCGCCACGATGGAGCGGACAGCCCAGAGAAACAAATCTCGTTACGACGAGAAAGTACGGGAGAATGTGCTGGAGGAGGGTGACAGAGTCCTTGTCCGAAATGTCGGTCTAAAGGGGCCAAACAAACTTGCCGACCGCTGGAGCAAGACTGTGTACAAGGTGCACCGGAAGATTAGCCCCGACATGCCGGTGTACATCGTGAGCCCAATTGGTGGCGAGGGTCCCGATAAGACACTACATCGGAATATGCTCCTCCCCTGTGGCTTCCTCCCTCCCAACGGCAGCGTACCTGATGAACCCGAGCGGCCTAAGCCCAAGCCTCGTCGCAGACGTGCCATTAGGCGACAGCTACCTGAGCACATGGACGATATGGATGATGCACTGGACTCTGACCTGTCGGACGACCAATTCTACGCACTTCGCCCGACGCCGGCGCCCAGGCGTACCACCTGTCTCAACCCGAATGCTCCAGTTTTCCATCCTGAAGTCAACCCCCCAGTGCCAACGCCCAACGATGACGACTCTCGATCGCATGAGAATGATGTTATGGTTGACAGCGACCCTACCCCAAAATCGCATCATCCCAACTCAGACGAGACCATGTTGACCGCCAGCAGCATCGGTGGAAGTTCTCCTTCAGGCCTTTCCACTTCGGATGAGCCCAGTGGTGAAGAGGAAAGGAACTCCGGTGCTCAAACCCCTGCCAGTTTGCATAGCGCTGACTCTAGTTCCACCTTAGACTCAATTGCCGCAGATGAACAAGCTGAAGCCAAAGATGAGGACGAGTCGGGTCCCGCCATTCCGGAGATTACCAGCGAGGCATCCACTGACCAGGATGCCGGTGTACCAAACATCGCCTCTCGACCTCTGCGAAATAGGAGGCCCCCCAAATACTACGGTTTTGAAGGGATGGAGGCCAGACTCCTTGAGCAACATCTCAAGACGCAGCAGCGAGCTTTGGAAGTCACCAATAACCTTGTCAATGTCATGTGTCAACGGTAAACTTCCTGTCTTTAATTTTTATGTCGTGGACGCCATGGTTTTAGAAGGGGAGAATGTCGGACCCTGTANGCAGAGTCCTTGTCCGAAATGTCGGTCTAAAGGGGCCAAACAAACTTGCCGACCGCTTGAGCAAGACTGTGCACAAGGTGCACCGGAAGATTAGCCCCGACATGCCGGTGTACATCGTGAGCCCAATTGGTGGCAAGGGTCCCGATAAGACGCTACATCGGAATATGCTCCTCCCCCGTGGCTTCCTCCCTCCCAACGGCAGCGCACCTGATGAACCCGAGCGGCCTAAGCCCAAGCCTCGTCGCAGACGTGTCATTAGGCGACAGCTACCTGAGCACATGGACGATATGGATGATGCACTGGACTCTGACCTGTCGGACGACCATTTCTACGCACTTCGCCCGACGCCGGCGCCCAGGCGTACCATCTGTCTCAACCCGGATGCTCCAGTTTTCCATCCTGAAGTCAACCCCCCAGTGCCAACGCCCAACGATGACGACTCTCGATCGCATGAGAATGATGTTATGGTTGAAAGGGACCCTACCCCAAAATCGCATCATCCCAACTCAGACGAAACCATGTTGATCATCAGCATCGGTGGAAGTTTTCCTTCAGGCCTGTCCACTTCGGATGAGCCCAGTGGTGAAGAGGAAAGGAACTCCGGTGCTCAAACCCCTGCCAGTTTGCACAGCGCTGACTCCAGTTCCACCTTAGACTCAATTGCCGCAGATGAACAAGCTGAAGCCAAAGATGAGGACGAGTCGGGTCCCGCCATTCCGGAGATCACCAGCGAGGCATCCACTGACCAGGATGCCGGTGTACCAAACATTGCCTCTCGACCTCTGCGAAATAGGAGGCCCCCAAAATACTACGGTTTTGAGGGGATGGAGGCCAGACTCCTTGAGCAACATCTCAAGACGCAGCAGCGAGCTTTGGAAGTTACCAATAACCTTGTCAATGTCATGTGTCTACGGTAAACGCCCTGTCTTTAATTTTTATGTCGTGGACGCCATGGTTTTAGAAGGGGACAATGTCGGACCCTGTATAATTTGGGAAAATTACTGTCTTTTTAGGTCCGACAAGAAATGTTTTTTTTAGGTTTGACAGAGGATGTTAGGTTTGGACTTTCCCACGGCAGCTTGAAGCACACTTTCTTCCGGCGGCAAAGTCTTGCCCGGATTCAAGCCGTAGGATGTCCGGGTGTCGGGTTTCTCTCCCGGAAACCGCGATCACGCTGGTCAACGTGGCCCAAGGAGGGGACCAGATTGGTCAACTCCGAGGTGTCCACGTCTCCCCGTGGAATGTCGTCCACCATGGCACTTTTTAATTGGCTAGTTCCAAATTACCTCATTTGTCTTAATTTTTGGGCCAATCGCAAGAGCTACTAGCACCTGTGCGAACGCGTGATTCGGTAGGACTATTTAACCCCCCTCTCGTGGCTGTGTCTTCAGAGCGTACTAAGACCTAGGTGCAAGTTCTATCCGAAAGTGCCCCCTGCACTTTTTTTTTGCCGTCCAGTTAGGAAGGAGAGCCGACTCCACAAAAGCGACTTTCTGTCACGTTCCTAACGTTTTTTGCATCATTTTGCCGCGTGCTCTGTCGACACAGGTAAGCCGATACTTTCTTATTTTTGTATGAACCATGTAGCTCTCTTTTTATATGATATGATTGTGTGACGACATTGAGATTTGTCTTGCCCACTGATGATAATGTTATACTTCCCACACTCCACGGGCAATGATGTAATCACTTGTGTTTCATTATGTTTCTCGCCAAGTATGCCACGTCCTATTGAGCAACAATGTAAATATAAATGGTTTTATACTCTATTACTCCTTGTGCCGCTCCTGTAATTTAGCCAATATTCTCTTTATTGCTTTACTGGATGCATTGACACTGATAGACTAAAATTCTGTCCGTAGATGACCTTGAGCAATCTGCACACAAATGTACACTGCCAGCGTGTCTAAAATACCCAGTGCATGTCCGCACGACACAGTAGCCACACGATGTAGATAATAATCTTTTAATCCAATGTTTAACTTGCTCTGTAGATAGTCGTATAGTTCACGTAGGCTGTATGGATAAGTGTTACTGGACGTTTCCACATGCGATTACATGTAACTGAAAGTCATGACCACTTGCCGTACTGTACACTTTTACTGTTTGGCCCAGATCACGTTTCGTGTTCTGCAGATAAACATGAGTTTATGCATGTATATGACCTTTGCACCGTTTAGTTTCCCCATTCCGATATTTCAAGTGTAAAATGTTCTGGGTGGACATCTAAGACTTCTTATCGCCATTGTTGTTGATATTTGTTATGCGAACCCAGTTAGTTTAGATGCTATGTCTGACTGTGTTTAGATTTAATAAGATACATATGTCAGTTGGTCCTGCAAATATTTGAGAGCGTACTAAGACCTAGGTGCGAGTTCTATCCGAAAGTGCCCCCTGCACTTTTGCCGTCCAGTTAGGAAGGAGAGCCGACTCCCAAAAGCGACTTTCTGTCACGTTCCTAACGTTCTCGCATCATTTAGCC